GAGGCTTAGCTGCTCTCCGTGATGGGTAACCACAAGGTGGCAGGAAGATTCCTTTGCCTCCTGCACTTGGCAGCCTGGGAATATTTATTGTGCTTTGGATGAATTTGGGGCAAACTGAAATAACAACAGTAGGGACAAGGAAAGTGTTTTACTCGTCTGGAATGTGCCTCACGATGCTGGAACGGTTGTGTACAGTCTACAGGTGTGCTGTGTTAGAGATGGAAAAGTACTGTGAAATGGGTCCTCTCTATGTTCTGGCAGTGGGTGATGGAATTAATTTGGGGAATTGGCTCTGAACCTAGGTAGCTGCCTACAAGATCTATGAAGGACCACCATGGTGTTTTTGGGGTGACCGGTCTGCTCTTTAGCCCTATTCCTGTTGCTGCATGTTTTGAGATGGAATTCCAATGGGCTGCCTTTCTCTTTATTCTCCGTAGCTGAGATAGAAGCTCCTGAAGTCCAGGACAGGCTCGTATACTGTTACCCAGTGAGACTGGCCATCCCCTCCCCACCACTCCCCAGTGTGGAAATGCATATGGAAAACAATGTGGCATGTGTGCGGTACAAGGGGGAGATGGTGAAAGTGAGCCGCAACTACTTCAGCAAGCTGGTAAGGGCTGACTGCCAGTCCTGCGTGACCTGTCACAAACTGCTCCTTGGTGAGAGGTTTCATTTCTCCTTGTCCTCCGAGAGGAGGGACTGTGCAGAGGGATGGAGCGCTGACCTGGCGGAGGCTGTCAGACACTGCCCTAATAGTAGCAGAAATGAGGACAGCTGCTTTCACCTTAGTCAGGGTCAGGCTTCTGCTGGGAACACTTTCAAGGTGTTGCGTGTATGCTTTGGATACGTACTTGTTGTGGTTTAACCCGGCAGGCAGCTAAACGCCACGCAGCCGCTGGCTCACTCTCCCACCCCTGCAGAGGGATGGGGGAGAGAATCGGGGAAAAAAAAGTAAAATTCATGGGTTGAAATAAAGACAGTTTAATAGGACAGAAAAGGAAGGGAAAATAATAATAATGATAAAAGAATATACAAAATAAGTGGTGCACAATGCAATTGCTCACCAACCGCTGACCGATGCCCAGCCAGCTCCCGAGCAGTGGTCCCCACCCCCCAGTATATAAACTGGGGCCAACTCCCCCCAGTTTATTTACTGAGCATGACGTCGCATGGTATGGAATATCCCTTTGGCCATTTTGGGTCAGCTGTCCTGGCTGTGCCCCCTCCCAGCTTCTCGCTGGCAGGGCATGAGAAGCTGAAAAGTCCTTGACCAGTGTAAGCACTGCTCAGCAACAACTAAAACATCGGTGTGTTATCAACATTATTCCTATACTAAATCCAAAACACAGCACTGTACCGGCTACTAGGAAGAAAATTAACTCTATCCCAGCCGAAACCAGGACAGTGCTGTGCTGCAAGAATGGTCGTACTCGCAGCAACTGCTGAGAGGCACTTGCTGATGTGGTACATTCATTCGTGGTAGCAAAGAGCTTGCGGTTCACTCGCAGGGTAAAAGCAGATGTGCTGACAAGCCTCCATGCAGAGCCCCACCTGCTCCTGTTGTTCGTCAGTGTCCCTCTCCATATCATGGTATGTTTGTGTACTGTCTTACCTTTGTTGACGCTGTTTGTGTTTAATGGCTGGGCTTTCTCTTCCAGTGGCTTCTCTATCGGTACAGTTGCATTGACGACTCTGGCTTTGAAAAGTTTCTGCCCAGGGTTTGGTGCCTTCTCCGTCGATATCAGGTACTGTCTCATCACAGTTGTTGTACATCAGAAAGCCTTAGTAATAGTGGGGAACTGAACTTGTTATCTTTGCTCTGGGGGAGGTCCACAGCTCTGGGAGCCTGATGCAAAATAGGGCTTAAACTGGGTCTGTTGTCTGCTCCCGGTGTTTTGAGATAGGACTGCGGTCTGGGGAGCAATTGTGATCTTGACAGGAGACCTCAGGGTGGGTAAAGACAAATTTTTATGAAAGAAACTTGACTCTGAGAGCCAGCTAAAGGTTCATGGGGGATATATGTGAAAATTGACAGTTGGTTTGTGGGGCCTGAGTTGGATGAAATATCTAAAGAGCATTCTTGGGTACATGCAGGGGACCTACATGAATTTGAGAAAGGACGAGGGGGCCCTGCATACCTAGAGAAGTGGGTGCATGGACGTGTGGCCCTGGGTCCGTGGTCAGTGAAGGGAGCAGCAGGAACAGCGAGTGCAGGCACGGCTCACCGGGGTTTGCTCTCCTCAGATGATGTTCGGTGTGGGTCTGTACGAAGGAACTGGTCTGCAGGGGGCACTTCCCGTGCACGTCTTCGAAGCCCTCCACAAGCTCTTTGGAGTGAGTTTTGAATGCTTTGCCTCGCCCCTGAATTGCTATTTTAAACAGTACTGTTCGGCCTTCTTGGATACAGACGGGTATTTTGGATCCAGGGGGTGAGTCTTACGTTCCGGTGCCCTTGCCGTGTTTGTGTGGGTGCGTGCACGTGTGATGACTCAAGACAGGCGGACGTGTCTGTCTGTTCAGGGTGGTAGCTGGTTGTGTGATGTCTGCTCAGAAGGATGTGTACTTCAGGCCTGCCTAAAGGCAATGAGTGGACACAGACACGCTGTGAAACCGCCAGGAGTGTGCCGTTAGTCTAGTTAGAGGGCTCTGGTCCCTGGAGTAATGCAGTTCATAGGTTTGCCAGCGCTTGCCCTTGTTCTGAAGAATGAGAGACCTGGGCCCTCAGGCGGTCGGCTTGAATCAGCAGTCACCTTCAGTGACTGCAGGTGGGAGTGTGTCCCCAGTGACCAGTCCTGCTGTTGGAAGCGGCAGGCCCTGTACTGCTGGGGATTCAGGCTTTCTGAGAGCGTGACTGCCTTTTCTGAGGAAACGGATGCTTTTTAAGGCGTGAAAATTAGAATTCTAGCCTCTCTGATAGGGATCTTTGCCTTTTTCCTCCAGCCCGTGCCTGGATTTCTTCCCTATAAGTGGCTCTTTTGAGGCAAATCCTCCGTTCTGTGAGGAGCTGATGGATGCCATGGTCTCTCACTTTGAGGTATGTTCACTCACCTGTGGAGTTGTTCTGAATGGAGCTGTGCAGTCAGTCCTCTTCTCCCCACTGCTCCCGCATCCTTACAGCAGGGCTGTAGTGCGGAAGGCAAAGGACGGTGACTGCTGCGGCACCGCTCCAGAAGCAGGAATCTTTCCTTTCAGTAGAACTCATTAGACATGTCATTGCTCAGCCAGGGCTGAGACTGTTCATTTTCTTGTTGAACTAGAAACTGCTGGAGAACTCCAGTGAGCCTCTCTCCTTTATCGTCTTCATCCCCGAGTGGCGGGACCCTGGCCCCTCCTCCCCCAGCCCTGACCCGCATGGAGCAGAGCAAGTTCAAGCGGCACCAGCTTATCCTGCCAGCCTTTGATCATGAATACCGCAGCGGGTCTCAGCATGTCTGCAAAAAGTAGGCCTTTTTCTCAGGTCCTTCTGGGAATGCGTTTCTGAAGCCGTATGACAGAAATATCCTATCCCAGGTTGAAATCAATGGGAAGTAGGGAGCAGGCAAGGAAGAACGCAGTGCATAATCACCCTGGATTTTTAAGATAGGCATACAGAGTGTTGTGAATTTCATGTTCGTTTAATGACTACTGAGGTATTTCACTAACAAAAAGCTTGTGAGTGGTGTATTCCCTGGGTACAAACCCAGTCTGAACAGGTCACACATGTGGTGCTGTGGTGATCATCCGTGCTCCTCTGCCAGCCCTCTGATCTGGTGAGCGAGCTGAGCAGCATTTCCTGGGCTGCCAAATGCCGCAGCAATTCGGTGTCACCCGGGGGGAAGCAGAAGGAAGGGGCAGGTAGGATCTTAGTCCTCAACGGAGCAAGCTGGCTGTTGGTCGGCTGTTTAAGCAACAAGTTCAAGCAACAACTTGTTTAAGCAACAAGTGCTTAAACACTAAGTTCTCTGTACCTGGTTACGATTGATGCCTTACCGCGATGAGACTCCTTCTGCAGGGACAGCGATGTCCCGGTTCATGTGCTGGTAGAGAGCTAGGTGGCCATGCAGCATCGGTGCTTCTCCTCTGAAAGTTCGTGAGCCTCTACCTTTACTCAGAAATGCCTGACGCTGCACTCTGCTTGCTCTTTTCCTCAGAATAATGAGAGAAAAGGACAGAGACGAATACTTGTCCTAAACATGACATGCAGGAAGGGGAGGGGCGGGTGCTAGGAATTAGATCCGGGTGGCAGTTGTGTGACTTCTGGACAGGTGGACCAGGGGAGATGCTAAGTGCCTGTTGTCTTCCCCTGCAGAGAGGAGATGTACTACAAGGCCGTGCACAACACAGCCGTCCTCTTCCTGCAGAACAGTGCGGGCTTTGCCAAGTGGGAGCCCACGCCGGAGCGGCTGCAGGAGCTCGTTGCAGCCTACAAGCATTCAGGCCGGACCCTCAGTTCCTTGTCCTCATCCTCCTCCTCCACAGCAGACAAAAAAGCAGGAGCTGGGCCGAGAGCAAAGCAGCAGCCGGGAGACTAATCCCAACTAAGGCGCAGAGGTGCGAGGCAGCAGGGGAGGTGCCGGCGGCCACGAGGAGGCTTGCCGGGGCAGTGGAGAGACTGCTGGCTGCGTAGCACCGGCCCGGGGGACTCTTGTGCAGCAGCTCCACGGCACCTGCTTTCCTCTGCGAACTGCACGCCGCCCCCGCCCACGAGCACCGGGGAGCACCCGGCCACCGGTGGGGAGAGGAGGCTCGGCTGTGGCCCTCACCGGAGGGCAAGGGAACCCAGCGTGGTGCGGCAGGAGGAGCAGGCAGTCCCTTCGACGCCAGAGCGCCGAGGGAAGGGGCGGCCGGAGCTGGGACGCACACACGGCGGGGGGCATCGCCACGTCCTCGGCGCCTGGCACCGCGGCTGGAGGGGCCCCAGCAGCTGGCCACAGCCCGGCGCCGGCAGGAGAAGGGCGGGCAGAGCCCGGGGGCTCCTGCGGCCGGACTGGCACCAGCACAGCTCCGTGTCCATAGTGTAAATAGTTCTGTCCACGGCGCCCGTGCTCCTCGCAGGGCTGCTCCCATTGCATCCGTGTTTCTTTCCCACATGTGTGAGTCCCGTGTTCGCCGACACTGTGTACCGTATAGGGGAGGAGCGGAGAAGAGGAGTTTTCTTTGGTGTGTAAAGACGTCTTTGCAGCTGTTTTGTAGTCATCGTGGTTTTTATGCGGAGCCTCTGGGCTTTATTTAACCTCCTTGGGTTTTGTTTTGTAAGGATTAATTTAACACCGCTAACCATTTTATTACTTTTATCAAGAAGAGCAAAGTCTATTTTTGATTTCTGTTTCCTAGTTCTTAGGCACATTAAAAGCTGGCATACAGCTCTGCCCCGTGTCTGTGCCTTCCCAGGGCTCCTCGTCCCCTCTCCCCTCCCTGGCCAGCTCCCCTGGGGCTGCGTGGAGCCGCCCGTTGTGAGCCTGGCTCCGGGGGACTGGGGGAGCCTGGTGGGTCTGAGCCCAGTCCCGGCAGCCAATGTCCCGTTCAGCGAGCGGATGGGTGCTGCTG